CAATGTAAATACCATAATGAAGATGCCCAGCATCTAGGGTGCGCGAAGTAAGTTCTCCTCATGCATCATCTACGGGAACCTCGGAACCAGACGAAGGTGTGCTGGTGAGAACAGTCACGCCATTGCCAAGGTACATTGGACGCGGTAAGAAAGCCCATGGCGCTTGATATGGTTCATGGAGTCACCACGGTCGACGGCACCTTGGTGCAGGAAATGCTGAGTTACCAACCAAGCTGACCATCACGCTGTTCACAGGAGATTCTCTGGTTCTTTCGATGAAGAATCGCACAACAATGGAGGAAGAACACCCTAGTGAAGTGTGAAAAGAAAGGGAGTTGGCATTGAGTCCATCATGATAATTCACCCATTGCTTACTCCCTCCGTGTGTCTCTGATGTTCACTTGCTTTGCTACTCTGTAGGTACACTTTCGCCACATACATGATTGTACGGGTCACCGCCACTCGCTGGATCACGAGATCTACCTTTTTACCTTGCACTCACAAATCACAGCTCACAGTCAAGCCCTAGATCCCAAGACCCCGTTTTTCCCTACTACAAACCACGATACACAAGGATGACTCATCCGATATCGACTGTCTACCGTCTGATGCGGTAGCAACAAGTCATGTGCTGATACACACACACACACAAACGTCCTACAAATAGGATGCCAGCACAGCAACATGACGCAACTCAACGGAGCATCGCACGTCACCCAGCTCGGAGCGGAGCCGCTTGGGGCTTACGGCGTTTCACTCACGGATTTTCAGGAATACGTGTGGCTGCTACAACAGCGAAGAAAACACGAAACCTGCATCCGGCTTCACAACAGGATTTACCAACCTGAATCTGCAATACGATAAGTCCCCTTGTTCGTATATACACCTATTATAATAATAATTTTACTCAACAAGCAGACATTGCTAGTGCTCTCCGTTTTCTCGTTCATACGACTAGTTTTCGGGTTCTAGTAGAGCATTGACAACTCCATACCCGCCATTCACCTTGCCGTACAAACTACTCTTGTCCAACACTGCTTATGCCAGCATATATCCACGTGTATGTGTCACTTGACTGCTGACTCATGCGTGCTCGTGCCCTGTTTTCTGTGCCCCTACTTGTTCTGCTGTGATTTCCGCCAATCAGAGTCACGAGACCGGCACACCGAGCCGACATTCCGTTCACCGTTGTTCGGTCTGCGCGCTGTTTCGGTCAGTGATAGACTTGCGTACTTGTGGATGCCAAGAACGTGGACGATTCAGGTCCGTTTAAATAGTACCATTGACTTTCGAACTTCTTTCTTTTGATGTTCGAGGTCGTCAAACCTAAACGTGACTCGAAGTTCCGTATCGGGAACCTCAACAGGGGTTGTTGATCTGCCACAAAACGTCCCATGTTTCCAGAGGAAACGTCCAGAAGCAAGATGCCTACACCTTCCAAAAGCATTGAGATAAACACTTCTGAGTGGCATTTTGGAGCAAGTCGCCACCAGCCGAGAAAGTCCGTTTTACGTCTCAGCATATGAGAACCAGGTGTTGCACTGTTCTTTCGCTTGTGCGCATTGCATGCAGTAAGAACCTATCGATTCTCAATTTGCGTCCACCCAGTGTACTCGCTGCTAGTTTGTACAGTTTGCTTACACCTGGTTTTCTTTCCCGCCTCAGTTATACCCCTGATCATTTAGTGATTAGACAACTCACTCTTCCCATCAATCTAATTTAGCACTATTATCACGGCCTGTGTTATTTCATTACCTGCAGCCTACCCAGGAAAAGACGAGCGCGCCGATCACGACCACATTCATATGACCTCCTCGGTGCGGCCCGTTCCTTAGTCCGTTACTCCATTTTCTTTCGCAGATTTCCTACTGATGACCCATACTCATTCTCATTCGTCTCCATCTTGGACAATGATAACCCTGTTATCTTCCGTGCATGATGAACTAGATCAGCTGACCAGTCACCATCACCAACTGTAATGGAGTTCTGGGCAACAGTGGTACGCCATCGATGGAATAGTCCGAGAGTAACTATTGACAGGATACTCCGTCCGAATCCAGGATAGCGCGGTCCAAACACCCCTGCACACCCACTAAAAGAACTACTGGGTCATCGTTTCCCTGGCTATTCTGTGGAGTACCTGGTCCTACCATGGTCTTAAGGGAAAGTTATAGTTGTTCGAAGTTACCTGAAGGTCGTATGAGTAGCAGAATTTCCGATATATCCTTTTTCGATGGTTTCGGGATGCAATTTTCGGTCATTCGTATCAAATGGTCCAACCAACAGAACTGGTTTCGCATTGGACTACATGCAAGTACAGCCGTTTATGATTTTGAAATGAATCTGTGTTCGGAACTCGGTCCTCCCATTCGATTCGAAAGAATTTACGCAGACAGTACACATGAAATCGGTTAATAACCACAACATTCACTCTATATGGCACTCAGGTCTTGTACATTAGTGAAGAGAGCACAGAAGCATTACGAAATTGACCTTGGAATACCAACCGACCGATGGTGCATCTGTGTCTTCAGAGTTGTCTAATAATGTCAGACGTCGGTCAGGTGGTTGAATTTAGTTATCCGTTTGATAGCCAACAATCTTGCTCCACACTGGGCGTAGCTGGATATCTTTGGCGATCGACTGCCTCAGTACTTGACAAAAATGTTAAAACCGTGCTTAGCATCCCTAGATCAAATAAGCCTGTGTGGCACTCGAGTCCTGTTACTATGACCTTTGGCCGACGCATGCAGTGAACCAAACCCAGTTCACATAGCTAGTAAAACAAAAGACTTCACCATAACCATTTCACGCAGGTGTTCTATAATGCCTTTCCTCATATGCCTCATCCATTCTACCAGTTCAAATGTTCTGACAAGACTGTGACTGGTTGTGAAGACCGTAATCCAGTACTCCACAGAGAAGCACAATCCCCGGTTTCTACAGCGTTCCTCCCTTCAGAACTACCATGGGGTTATTTCTCCCGTTACAACAGATAATAGTAATCGAGAACTTATTAAAGGTTTGTCATCGCTGCAAATTTGAGGATGTAGTCTTCCGGAACATGCTGTTGTGAAACGATCCGTGGACTCCTAGCTGGTCTCATCGCATTCATCATCATCATCATCATCATCAGCGTCATCATCATCATCATCATCACCATCATCATCATCATCATCATCAGCGTCATCATCATCATCATCATCACCATCATCATCATCATCATCATCAGCGTCATCATCATCATCATCATCACCATCATCATCATCATCATCATCAGCGTCATCATCATCATCATCATCACCATCATCATCATCATCATCATCAGCGTCATCATCATCATCATCATCACCATCATCATCATCATCATCATCAGCGTCATCATCATCATCATCATCACCATCATCATCATCATCATCATCATTGTCAGCTGCAAGGACCGCGTACTCGTCGTACAGTGGTTGTAGCTGCCGCAGTTCCGTTCACCGATGATCTGGGAGGAATAGGTAGATGCGCATTGCACGCGCGAGCTGGTAAATTAGTGTATAAATCCAGCACTGTCAGTGGGCTGTCCAGTGGGGAGAGGTTGGAAAAAGAGCTATGCATTGAAGGCAACAGCTTGGATGCACGAGCCGCATTGAGGGCGCGACTAGGCCATGTCTGACAATGTCTCTCTCTAGCCATTGATGTGGCCCGTCTCGGAGTCCCCATCCAGGAAGACAGCAATAACCAGCGCAGCTGAGTTTGTGCTAATGGCTTTCANGTTTGGCCGCCTCTGGCTCTCTTTCACCCTTCACGTGGTTGGGCGAACAGAGCCCTTCGAGGAAGTCGGTCGACTGGCATACGCAGCACGTGGCCAAGCCAACACAACCTATGCAGTGTGATCAGTTCATCTATCGAGGGTGAGTTATTTCTCCCGAATACCATTCGACGTACTTCAGGATTACTGATCCGGTGTTCTCACCAGACTCGTGCAATGCTCCGAATTCATCGATGGTAAAACACTGAAAGTCTTTTGACGTCCTCGGCGCGCAAGCGGCCAGGTTCTGATCCATATAGTACTATGGAGCGCACCGCAGCATTGTAAACTCGCATTCAAACTATTTTTAAAGAGTATCACAACTTTCCTACTATGGTCTCAAACTTCTACCCCAATTCTCACTCGTGTGCCCTCCCCCACTAAACTTCTTACCCCCTCACCACATCCCCTGGACTTTTTGACAGAGATATTTCCGCCAGGGTTTGTGATTTCAAAACATATCTAAGTGCGACGTAATATAAAAGAGCGTTTTAGTCAGGGATCAATGAGATTTATATCAATCCTAATCATAGGAGTTTTATCGAATAGTCAACGCCTGCTTTACTGAATTTTATCGTCTTTACTCTGGTTTACCTGGGGTTATTTCGAAATACTGTGTGGTAGAAACTTTTAATTACTTCTGCTCACCACTTACGGAAAGTGTGTATTTCGTACATGACCCGGGAGTTCGATTTGTCAACCGATGCGTTCCTAGCGCGAATGGACCTTTATCTAGCCCCTTTGGACCAACTCCCACGATTTTGATGTCCACTGGTTTTATGCCGAAACCCCATCTCTCATGTCGCTACTCTTCACTTGACTTATGCACTATCCTGTGTCTGATCACCCTGGTCAGTACTTGTCAGTCCTTCTCTTGACTGATTGAAGACGATTTGTAAGGTGAAGCAGATATGGTAGCTGACAGTCATTGTACATGTTTAAATGACAGAAATATCGATGTTTGTTCGGGCTAGCCGGAGGACGTGACCAAATCGACCATAATCATCACGGCACGTGACGTGAAAGCATACACACAAATGAGGTGTGTATGTAAGGCGCAGCATAAAGCTGATTGGCTCAGCGGGACGTAGACCTCGCCGTCTGACGAATCGGGACAAAGCCACTAAGAACGAAAAGACTATGTCGAAAAAAAAAAATATTAACCACTGTAAACGAAAAGCGAACGACCGTCGACCACGCCATGGCATCTGCAGGGGAGGACAAGCCACGCACGGTGATTTTCCCCATCGATGGGAGCGAACACTGCGAACGGGCTTTTCAGTGGTATGTGGATAATGCGAAGCGTCCAAACGACAATGTGAAATTTATCAGCGTTATTGAACCGGTTTACACAAGCCCAGCATTCGGAATGGCAATGGAAACACCACCCTTACCGGATGTCCATCGCGTTATGGAGGAAACTATTCAAGAAGGAAAGAAAATATGCCAAGACAAGATGAAGAAAGCGAAATCGCTTAACCTCGAATCTCAGGCATTTTTACACGTTGACAGTCGTCCTGGTCCTGCAATCGTAAAGGCAGTGCAAGAACACGGAGGGAATTTAGTGGTTATGGGGAATCGAGGTATCGGTGTTGTCCGTCGTACCTTTCTAGGCAGTGTCAGTGACTACGTACTACATCACGCTCGTGTACCAGTTGTGATTGTTCCACCACATGGGGAAGCGACCAAATGATATCTGACCCCGTTTTGTGGCCCAGTGTTACTGTGAGTCTTGTCTTATCTTATCACTATCATATAAACGTAATTACTTTGCAATGTGCGTCTCTCTTTCTTTCACGTGATGCGAAGCTTCCTCCAAGACGGTGTTTTGTCCTCACCTAAAACTCACTTGGTTTGACGCCTGCTCTGCTGATCCCAATTAGCGCCGAATTGTTCTCAGAAAAGGATGAGTCAGCTCACTAGCATTATTATTGGGAACTAAAGGGGAACTTTTTCATTTGACTGTACTGAACCGCCGTCGCCACCACCCTTTCGGTTTGCCCTGCTGACCTTGAAAGTGCACCAAGCTGTTCGACTTGACCAAGTCGACTCAGCGATTAGAGTTAGCAACTGTTAAATTCAGGGCACCATATCGCTGCGCACTGATCTTTGGTGTAGAAGAATGTGGACATCTTGAGTAAGAACCCACGGATCGTTGGTACGGGGACGACTCAATATCCTCGGTTCTCATTTTTTCACCAACAGTGGGATTTTTTCCAGCTAATCCCCACCAAAAAATTAACCCCTGTCACCCAAAAAAGATGAGAAAAAGAGGATATGAAATTGTACTTTTAGTTTTTATCGAAGGGGGTGAAAATGGGAGACATCGTAGGATCCACAAAGTTTTCGGTATGATTAACCGTTTCATGAGTATAATTCATGTCAATCGTCGTTTCAATTCCTTTGTATGGTGCCCACTTATCGGAGATGATTACTGAGCCGGGAGCGATGCAGGTCTGGATTGTGTCCATCAAAGTGGCCGCAGTTCGATCTGGCATTGCATACATGAACACCTCTTTAGTTTCCCGGCAGATCCCTCCGAAAATCCATTGCTAGGAGAGGACTCACCCTGTGTGGGTTTTACGGCGAGATATTAGTGTTTCATCGATCTCGACGTGTAGACCTGGGCCGCCGATAACTGTTGAGTCTGCAAAAGCCGACAGGCGCAAACATCGCGAAGGAAGTTCTTCCAGTCGACAGTGGTGGTGTGGCTGACAGATAATTCCTCTGAGCATAATTTGATTTTTGCCAGCAATGAATGAATGGAATTACTGCCCTAAACTCCATCCTAGGCCGCTCCAGTCAAGTTCTCTTTCGAAGACCGATTTCTTGCCGACACTGGCGGGCATTACACCTCCACCTGTCATTTGGTAACCATTCTTGCAAAAGGCCTATTGCCGTCTCCTTGTCATGAACGATAGTTGAAAGCGTCAGAAAGTTCATTCAAGGTTTCACGTCCAAACGGAGAAAATTTTTGCACAAAATGAGCCTAGATGCGGATAAGGAATTGTTTTCACCAAAAATAGGTCAATGTCGTGTGGGTACATCAAACTGGAGCTTGCAAAAAGTGGTGGGCTTATCTGGAAAAGATCCCCTTAGGGCTCTCTTTATTAATCCCCTCCTTGAGTAAGCCTACTAAACCGGTTACACTGTTGTGTATCCGCCTCTCATTCAGGCTAAATCTTCAGGCAACAACCAGTAGCCCCCATTAGGTAACCCTTTAGTGTGGTCTCCACTTCTTTAGGCACGTAGAAGATACAACCGTCTAAGTTACTCGTACCACGTCCTTGCACAGAAAATGGGATAGTTCCCCCAGTGATTTTTTTCGTTTCATCGGCACTGGCATTCGTTTGAGCTTTTGACGGAACAAGAACGCACTAATGGATGTAATGCACTACTCATAAGATTGCTGAAAACTGCTCAGAATTGCTGAAACAGCTCACAATCGGTTTCGCCCTTGTTGGGGCTCATCAGGTGGACACAGTTTCAGAGATTTCGCCAACCGTGTGCTCTAATTGAACACAGAATGCATGAAATTTTACTAATATACTCATCTGCATGCGGATTCGGTTTTCGCGGGATATTCACCTGGAACCCAGCTGAATCTCTCGTTTATGTTCTTCTTCACTTGAACTCATATAGTACGAATATCGTGTCAAGTGAAACATAAGGTTGCCTGCTACAGCACGTTCTGCTGAAGAAAAGCATCATAACCGAGGTTATGAAGTGAGTCTCGCCCCAATGCAACTTGGTATTCGGATGGGTGTACCAGTCGTAGAACACACCCAGTTTATATGCTGATGGGCTGTAAGTTTAAAAAACCAAAGCATCAGATCTTGTTCGTTCCGCCTGCTTAGGTTTCCAACTATTTACAAACTCATTGCGCTCGTTTCTTCGCGAGTCAGTTTATCGCAAGATCACTTTCATCTTCTGCTGATTTAGCAGGTCACCATCTCACGATTGACTGCACTCATAATCTGAACTGTAATGTATCACATGACATCAGGCTTCAATTCCAAGAGTAGTAAAAAAACAGCTAAATATAACACCATTGTAAAATCAAGCAATAGAAAGTCAAAACATGAGTCCAAGTATACTGGGCGCTAATCAATCACACTTTAAACAACTCCATTTTTCAAAGCCTACTACTTCCCGAAATAGGTGAACGTCTTCGGGTGCAGAGTTGAGAGCAGAATCATGAGTATTGGAGGGGGCCACCAAAGTCAGCGGAAAAATCCACAGATAGGCTTCTGCCGTGTAACCCCAAAACGTATTGTTTGTTGTTTTCATCGAAAGACTTATCTAAGTGATAATCCTGCCTTTCAAGGCACTATGCGCACCAACTTTGCTAAGGTTTAGAATCTACCATACTTGAGCGAATGGAGAAAAGGCGGATTGCTCACAGACGTCTTTGTCTAACTCTTAGCGGATCCTAATGATAGATCAAAAGCCGTACCCGACAACTTATTTTTAAAAATTGTGTCTTAGCAAAGGTAGTCTAAATCGGTCTATCGAACTGTTCGAACGTAAGACTTTCATCAGTTTGCCTCACGTGACATTGCCTTGTCTGGTTATACTCTGCGGATGAGACCACTGGGTATTCTGTCTGTTGTCTGGAATGCGCTGCACTTTTCCAGTTACTATTTTATTTTCCAGTGGATGGTGTGAAGATCTCCTGGATGTCATCAAACACCATAAAATTGATCCCGTGTTCAACACATAATTGTGACACTCCTCGTTTGCTGCCAGTATGTGAATCGGCGTATATGTTGTGTCCCATACCTATGGAATCTAACTGAGGGCATTCCACAGCACTACCAGACCAGATACATTGTCTCTCTAATCCCCTAACTGTAGTGTATTTCCCACGTCACTTTCGACCGTTCGTTGAAATAACACTGACTTAAATATCTGCTCTGTAGGGTGCTGTATCATCTCACGCGCCTTTTTAGTCCCAGTTGGTAGCGATACGAGACTGCTGTCCACCATACCCGGATGTGCCTAGTTGGGGTCAGGCATTAAGTTTGTGACAGTTAACAGTGCGGGCTTTGGGTTGAGTCGTGCTCTGCCCGTCAGAGTCCAAACTGGTGGGCTGCGGAGGGATTATAGTGGCCAATCAACTCGCCAAATCCACTGCAGGCTTCTCTCTCCCCTGCCCTAGCCCACTTTGCCGCTAACACAGGGGTCAATTAACCAATCGCTGTGTTTAGGGTCTCATCCCAGTGGGGTGCGTCCCGTTTATGTTTGCGTGATGTTGTGACGGCCGCACGAGTTGCTGCGGTGATCCCACAAGCCATAGCAGAGCGGTTATCACAAACCAAGCCTGCCATCAGCCAAGCTGGGGTGAACGGCCTTGCTAAGATCAACCACAGCGAAGGCCGCGTCGAGTGGTTCGGCGGTCGCTTCGGCACGAAGTGCGATCAACTGTATGTCGTGCATCCTGGCTAGATTGACGCACTGTGTTACGCGTATACTGTTCAATTCCAAAAAAAGGAAAAATTCTGATGTGCACCAGTCAGTAAATCGCTGTTAGTACCCAGTCGTGGCGTTAAGAACCCCGTAATATGGGTGATGTAGCACGTCAACTAATCAACGGGTTTTTAAATGAGTTCGGGCAGTCTTCTGAGGTCCTGTTTACGGCACGTTCCAAATACAGGAATAATTGGTGTAGACGTTCTGGTACCATACTAAATACGTCCAAAATGAGCCTCCAGAAACTTTGATCTATTGCTGCAGTTGACATAAGAGATTCTAGCTCTGCTACCAAAGCATGCATCAGTGACTCCGAGTCAAGGTTAATGGACTAGGGTGGCCGAGATTGTTTACACTGAATTCTATGGGCAGCTGGAATCATCATCAGCATCATTAACAACATGACATCAGTGTTCAACACCGATGCTTCACTGCCGTACAACCATGATTTCTTTGAAAGCCTTATTGTATAGAAAAGAATAAAGGTGGATGGGGCAGGGACTTAGCGCTAGCTTAACACAATCATTCCGAGGTGCCCACACCTCCAGACATTCACTCAGGCAATCTGGACAGAAACTGACAACAAGAACGCCACTGACATCGGTTGGCAGCCATATCTTGTAGTGTCTCCAACCAGGCACAGTGAGGATCACGCGGTCCCCATCCTGGAAGGCGAGTAGCACCGACAGCACCCAAGCGTTTCGTGATCTCCTTCATTCTCCTCTGCCAAGTCAAGGGTTGGCCACCTCTCTGTTTACGCCACTGTGAGTTGGGCATGGAAAACAGCATTCTCTTCGGCAAACGATGGTTCGGCATACGTAACACATGTCCCAACGAACGCAGCTTCTGGTGCTGGACACATTCTTCAATGGAAGTACCCGTTACACAACCGAAAACGCGCTTTCTAACTGCTTCGTTACGGTTCAGCTGATAGCTATACATGACTGTGGTTAAATCACCCAGATGCCGCAGCATGTAGCTCCTACATAGCGAAGAAGCCGCAATCTGTGTTGTGGTTCTTACGCATTTTATGTGTGTCTCGGAAATGAAGTAGATATGCATCGACCAGATTTTAAAAGTGAACTGCATATTGACTGATTGGCTCAGGGGTATGTAGGCTGAAGTATGAATGGTATACACGTAGCGTGGGTTGTATGTGGCGCGCCGTATACAATTTTCTAGGTGCGTTATCAGAATTTCTGCGGCTAGAATCTGAGA